GTCCCAAGGGTCTGTTTTAATAATAGTTGGTGTGAAATGCATTTAACAGTAACATTTTAGAGCTTCTACAGTAGGGGAAAAGTTGACTAGTGGCATTTCATGGGGGGCTTCATAAGAAGGTCCTTGGGGATCAGGTGGGATTTATGGAGGAGAGAAAACAGAGGTGGAACCTCCATTTCTACTTGGATGTCCATCAGAAATTTCCTCCTTCCACTAGAGGTAGCAGAGTTTAATACAGCCTTTTCAGCAACAACAGAATGTTTGTGGAACCAAGGGGTAAATAATGCAAAAACTTTTCATGAAAAACAAAGTTTTATTTTCACAAGACTTCTTAAAGAAAGCATTATAAGTGATAAGACTTTGTACTTGCCTTTGGATAATTCATAAGCAGAGATGGAGAAAAGGAACCTTATAAAGGATGCCCTGGCACAAGAGCTTTGAGGGAGCAGAACTTTGGACAATCAAGACAGACAGGCAATCCAGACCAGAACAGAGACAATTTTAATCATACTTGGCTAAGCATTAATCCCTAAATTGAAGAGAGAATATTAGATGTTTGTTCAATGTTATTTTGTGATAGTAAAAGATTGGAAACCACCTAATTTATATTAGTAGAATACTGGTTAAAAAGAAGTATGCATATTCACACAATATGTGGCTATAAAAAAGAATAAAGAAACTTCTGTATGTATTGATGTGAAATGATTTCCAAGATAAACTGTCAGGGGGAAAAAGCAAGGGGCAGAATTGAATATAGGGTGCTATTATTTGTGTAAAATAGAAAAGATCATATTGCATGTGCATAAAATTGCTGCAGCTGGTAACACTGCTTGCCTTCAGGCAGTAGACTGGGTAACTGTGGCACAGGGATGGGACTTCTACTGATAACATTTTCTGTCTTTTGGATTTTGAAATAGTTAATGTATTCCTGCTACTCAAAAAACAAGAACATGTAAAAGGTTAATTAAAACTAGTAACAAAAAAAAGTGGGAATTGAAAATAAGTACCAGAATTCTGCTACATATCATTTGTAGTTTGCTGGAGAGATGTGCTGAAGTTCACTCTTCAGTAAAATTTATGTAACAACTTCTCATTCCATAGTGATTTCAGTCATTCTCAACAAATTCTCTTATGGTGACCAAAACTTGAACAAAGAATTCTTACAAGCATTATTACAGATATTTGACACAAACATTTGCTAAATGGACTCTTGATTATTGCAGTAAAAATTCTACTCAAGGGGCCGACCGAGTGGTTCAGCTGGTTAAGAGCTTGCTCAAGAGTGCAAGCTCTGAGCAACAGAGTCGCCGGTTGGATTCCCACATGGGCCACTGAGCTGCGCCCAAGCTGAGCTGCCAACAGGTGGCAGGATGGCTCAGCTAAAAAAATAATAATAAAATTGTGCAAACCCTGTTCCAGAAATTCCATGTCTAGGACGAGTATGTGGAAAGAAATTAGCTATAAGTATGTTTAACAAAATGTATAAAATAGGAAAAACCTGTAACAACCTAAATGTCCTACAATATAGAATTAATTAAATAAGTTATGATACATACATAAGATGCTGTGCACCCATTTAAATATTATGAAAGAATATTTGACATGAGAGGTATCTTCACAATATATTAAATGAAAGAGCTATTTACAAAATAGTATACATAGTATGTTTATATTTTGAGAAAACTTATGTATTTTAAAAACTAGCATTATATATACCCTAGGAGTGGCATTATCCATTGGGTAGTGATTTCTTTCTTCCTTTTTTTTCCTTCGTCCATATTTTCCAACTTTTTTACAATGAACATACTTACAATAATTAAACATACCATGGTGGTTTAAAATCCATTCAAAGAGAGCCACTAAATCCAGCCCACACTCAATGGGAGAGGAATCAGGCTCCACCTTTTGAAAGGAATATCAATTTATAGACATATTTTAAAAAAGCAGAACTTCAGAGACTAGGTCATTAAAGGTACTGTGGCTTCCTCCTTGCTCACTCTCTCAGCCACTTACTCTGGGGAAAGCCAGCTGTCACATCACGAGGCCTCACAAAAAAAGTGAGGCCTTCTGCCAGCAGACATGTGAGTAAGCACCATCTTGGAAGCAGCCTTCCAATGACTGTAGTCTTAGCCAACAGCTAAGGCATAATGGCATAACAGACTGCAACCTCATGAGAGATACTGAGCTAGAACCATCCAGTTAAGCCACTTCTGAATTCCTGACATACAAAAAATGATAGTATTTGTTGTTTTAAGCCACTAGGTTTTGGAGTAATTTATTACACAGCAATAGTAACTAATACACAATTTCTACATTTAAATTGTAAAAGTTCTAGTATCTAAAATGAGCAAAATCTAGTTAGGACACATTACAGAGTGTTGCTTTTATATCTGTCTGGGTATGCTGTACTTTACAACAGGAATTGTGTAGGAACTGAGATGTTTCAGAAATTAAGGTTCTTACACTTTTTTTTTTAGATAACTGAGGTACTTATAACAGTGCCTTGCACTTATCAGACAAAAAAGAATGTTTTTAACTGTTCACCTAAAAGTACAAAATATTATATGAGCAAGTAGTTAAGTGGTATTTATATGAAGTTCTATAGGATTTCAAAGGAATTCAATGTGGGTGAAGGCTTCAGGAAGAAAGTGGAATTTAATAAACATAGGTGGAATTAGTTTCAGGCTTTAAATTATAAAGGGGGAAAGGGTATGCTAAATAGGACAGCACAGATTCAAATGAAGAAGCATGATTATGGTGAGTTTAGAGGACAAAAGACCTATGTCAAGAACCAGAGTGTATTTTTGGAAATTGTGGGTCAAAACTTAAGAAAATCCAACAGATGATTCCAATATAAGGAATCTAGGCTTTCATCTTATAAGGCTAGAGAAGTCATTGAGGGTTTTATATGATAAAATGGTCTTCAGATAGATTAATCTAGATGTGGTGCCTGAGACATAGCAGAGGGACACTAGGGATAAGGAAAAAGTCCTGAAGGCTAAGACAGTCACAGTGGAAACATTACTAATTATTTGAGCGCCTATTATATATCGACACTAAGAGCTTTACATGCACTATTTCATTTATGCCTCACAAGAACTATTAAACTAGGTACTGTATTATCCCCATTTTCTAGGTAAGGAAACATGCTTAGAGTTTAAGCAACTTGCCCAAGTCAGTAGAGTTGTTTTGACTCCAAAGCTAGAACTCCTACCGTACATACAACACTGCCTAGATGTTGGAGATATTTTAACATAATTAAATGGGGGCTGGCCGAGTAGTTCATTGGTTAAGAGTTGGCTTGGGAGCGCGAGCTCTGAGCAGCAGGGCCACTGGTTCGGATCCCACATGGGCCAGTGATGTTGCACCCTCTACAGCTAAGATGGTGAACAACAGTTCGACCTAGAGCTGGGCTGCCATGAGTCACCGGCAAGGCTGCAGTGGAGCTGCAGTGGGCTGCCGTAAGCTACCGTGAGTGGCCGGCAGCCAGCGTGAGCTGCCGTGAGCCGCCATGAGTGGCCGTCCAATGGCTAGCAACCGATCTGCCTCAGGGGAGAAGAGCACAATGATCACAATACCAACATGGGCCAATGAACCGATGTTCTCCACAACTAGACTGAAGAACAAAAGGACAGCAACTTGTCTGTTCCCCTTCCCTGATTCCCCAATGCTGTTCCCTCCCCCAATTCCCCAATAAAAATCTTTAAATAAATAAAATTAAATGCAGTGAGTGAAATAATTTAAGACTTTTTGACTAGAGAGGAAGGAAAGGAAAATAAGCTTAAAAATATTGGGTTGTCGGAAAAGTCATGGCACATTTTTGCAACGAAAAACATAGAAAAAATACATCATGACTTTTCCAACAACCCAATAGTTACCATTTATTGAGTACCTATTTATGTGCCAGGCCCTTAACTGTGTCAGATGTTTTATATATTTTATCTATAATCTATTGTTTGGCAAGATAATCCAATATTATTTCCATCTTACAAATGAGAAACCTGAAGTTTGGTGGAACTTGAAAGTAGTTATCACTTAGAAGTTTTTGACTGCCAGAGCAATGAAGTCATAGCTAGGATTAAAATTCAGGTTGCTCCTTCCAGTACACCACCCTTTTCTCCTAACCAAGGATCACCACTGGATGCAGAGCCCTGACTGAATGCAGACTGAAGAGAAAGGAAAGCTACCCTGCATAATATTCTGCATAATTTTTGAACTAAAACTCAACTCTTGTCCTTGGCCATGGAGTTTGTGGGTGGTTCTGAACCACTGAATATTGTCTACAGTTGAGGATAGTTGTGATGCTGGAAGGAGTGAATGCTTTATTGTATCTGTTATGCTGGTCTTCTTTTTAACCAGCTGTGTGACCTCTGGAAAATTATGTGAACTGTCTAAGCCTCAAGAATCCCCTCTATAAAATGGCATAACAGCCTCCACCTCAAAGGATTGTTGTAGTATCAATAGTGCAGAGAACCTAGCAACTAAGTTCAACAGACACTATTACAATTTAAAATACTCCTGTTCTGGCAAACATATTAAACCTGCATAGTAGTCTCTGACACTTGGGTTGAAATCTTGTATACATTCCTGTCTTATCCCTTCATTCATCTTTGTGACCTCTTCTTTACACAGAACTCAAATATTTGTGGACTTGAAACAAGTTATTATGGTAACTAAAAACAAACAAAAGCCCAGAAGAGTTAAAATGCCATTCTTGCTGTTCTCTTTTAATTAAAAACCCTAAAACGGCATACGCACTTGGATGTTACTTAATTAACAGTCATTAAGGAAAAGATACTGACGCAGTAAACTTAAGCGATGTGGAAAAGAAATTGTTGACCAACATGGATTCTCTCCCCCTTAGGACCACAGTTACGTCTGGAGTCAGAGAAAATATTTTTATCAGGTCTTTTGGGTATCCTGTAGAAAATAAGACAAAAACAAAAGTCAGTTATTTTCTTTAGTCCGAGCATAAGCACTGGAAGTAAATCCCTCACTTGTACTTTTTAAAAAACATATTCCCAAGCGCCTTCTCTACCTAACTACAAAATTCCAAAAGGTATAGTTTTCCACCATTCCTACCGCAGTTAGGAGACAAGCTGAGGGCGGGAGTCCAGTTATGACTACGTAGCTAAGGCGGGACCGCCTCCAAAGGGGGCGACTCTGCGCCGGTAGAGTAGCAGAAGGCCTACGGGGAGCGGCGCTCGGGGTGGCCCGCGGCGCTCACGGAGCTTCCCACGGCCCTCTGGTCGCGGCCCTTACGCACCGGCGTTCAGGTGAGGCGAGTGCGCGGCCGGGGCTGCAGCTGGCGCTGGCGGCGCTTGCGTTGGCCGTTGAGGAGCTTCTGTGCGATTTTGCGCTCGTGGCCGCCAGGCACCGGCCAGTTGGTGCGCAGTTCCCGCTCGCGCCGAGTCCGGCCCTTGCTGCGTCCAGCCCCGCAGGCGGGGAAGTCGCGCAGGTAGCAGTAATCGAGGCAGTCGTAGAGCTCCTCCTCCGAGCTCACCGCCTCGGGTGGCGGCGGTTGGGCCTGAGCCTGGGTCCTCGGAATGGCCAGGTCCATCGCCGGGCAGCCTGGCCGCCCGCCTGGCCGCCCGCCTAGCCCCGCGCTGCGATTGGCTCCATGTGAGGGGGCGGGGCCTAGTCCTGACATCACAGAGCCTCGGGCTTACCCCGCTCGAGACCACTGTGCTCGGTTCCGGGGAACGTGACCCCTTTCTTTGCCAGGGCACACATGCCTCCGGTCCGAGAAGGCAAAATCCGACCGAACATTTCGTTTATAGTGGTCAAAAATGGAAAACTTTCCAAGTGTCCAACAGTGAGGGACTGCTTAAAGAAGATGTGGGGTTGTGCATTCCTCCAGAGGACTTTTATCATCAATAAACATTTTGTTACTATTTGATGACATGAGGAAGTGCTCAATAATTATGTAAAGGGAAAAAATAGCTTCTGTAGAAGCCTAGTAACGTATTTTTTTCTTTTAATTATTTTTTATTATGAAATACACATTTTTTAGGATTAGTTTCAGCTGTACAACACAGTGCAATAGTTATACTTTTTACCCCTTGAAGTGACAACCCCACTCCCCCAATCTGCCACCCCACTTTCCCCCAATATCATACATATCTATTACAATTCCATTGACTCCACTCCTACACTATACTACAC